GCGTTTTCCCGACATATTTTTGGAAACATTTCTTATATCAATAAATCATTAAGAATTTGTTTTCATCTGGTTTAATGAAAACGTGTATTGATTATGAGTTTGATTATTCTGGCTTCATAGTTTAGTCCGTATAAAATTTCATGTAAATTCCTCATTAAAATCCGATTTATTTTGTTGCACGTAGTAGTTCGATCCCAACTAAACTTACCAGGGTTATGTTTAAGCAATCTAAAACCGAAATATCACGGAACATTTCAGTTGAATTGCTAAGAACATAAGTGGGCACAAATAACTTCTTTTGACAACAACCTCACCCAAGCTTTCTAAATGGTAAGATCACACAGTTGAGCTGTTTGTGTTCCTCTCTTGTTTTAAAAGTCATTCAACTGCAGGCACGTAAGCTTTCAGAACTGGCAACATTTCACAATTTGAAACTATAAGATTTAGTAACGAATCTACAGGTGACTTTATCATAATGAATCACGGATCATTTTTAGCTCTGCATGAAAACTAAACTGTGGTAAAACTAACCTCATTAAAGAGACCTACCCAAAGAAAAAGCGGGGCTCTCTTAGTTTCGCGGAGTTTTGACAAAACATCGAATAGGCGTACACTCTTAGTTGAAGACTCCTTAGTTGCCATCCACAGCTGACTTAGAAAATATCGCATACCAGGTTGTAAAATTCAAAACAAAGATTCAACGACAGTAATCACGATTTGAACAAGTTCTTTTAGGCGTTTTCTCAAACCTACTTTAAGACTTTATAATCTTCAGCTAAAGTCTATGCAAAAATTCGTAAGAGTGGAAAGATGTTATAGTCCTATTTAATTAAAACTAGAATTGAACGGCTCAAACTTCCTTATTTTCCTGAAATTATGCATCGAAAATTGAAGAGTCTTTAGATGTATCACCGGTGAAATTCCTCACACATAAGTACCTTTTTTCTCTCTCTCGCTTTCTTAGCTGTGCAAGTTTTACTAGAATGTTCAGTTAACCTCAACGCACACTCCAGCGTCTTCATAAACTTAGTTGTTACAAACCAAGTCCTCCGAGTGATGAAGTGACAATCTTTACAGAAATAATGAAGCCACAGGCAGAAGTAGACCACACTAGATAGATATTAATTCATTGTTGTTCGGACTATGCAAAGTTCTTGTGATAATTGCTCGGAAGTCATTTAGTAAATTTACAGTTATAAGTATTTCAGGGCGTTTTGTTTGTGTGGGTGTAGCATTAAGAGTCTCTTGCAACTTTACAATGGACCACCGCGAACTGTTATTGTTATATTTATTGCTTGATTATACCGAAACGAGCTGGAATCAATCCAAATATGTAGTATGACTACTGAGAGGAGCATTCGTACAGCGCGGCGTGATAAGTCATCAAGGAATAAATCGTGATAACATGGTTTATGGCCCCCTGGGGTGGTAGAAAACTACAGAGAATCAATTCCCACAAAGAAGTAGCTGAAGATTTGTCTAGAGACTTTATCCCACAAAGGAAAGAACGCTGCGCTGAGGACTGAAACAATGCATGTCGTGATGCTACAAAAAGCCTGATTAGCAACAGTTGCGGAATCTGCTGTTCAAAAGGTTTAAAGATTCAACTAAAATTAAACGTAAGTTACCAAGACACAACGACACGAACCTGAACAAAGGCTGAAATATAGGTATGAACTATCTTACAAGTTGCATGGCCATGAGGAATGTAAATTAGATTTCTTTCCGATCACCGTATCGACGTTTTCAAGTAGCTTCTTCAGTGTTACTTTCTGTAACCAATAGCCTTATTTAACTTGGAAAAGAAAGGGAAGGTCTTCTCTATACCTATATCATGGGCTTACTCAAATAAGGAAGTAAGTCTGATATGCTATCAATCACCTCACACATAACCAACCGGAAGCATTCGCTAAAAACGAAGAAGCCAAACGAAACAAAACCGTTTGTAATTTACCAGCAGATATTCTAAGATTTCATCCCAAGCTGATATTCGTGTTCTAGGGTATTTCAGTCTTGATTTGTTGGGGAAACTCTGGTTGACCACCATGGCATAATTCTTACTCAGAACGAACGTATGTGGCTCACTTGGATTGTTCTATGGGTTTTCGGTAGAATTAATTTTAAAAAATTAATGAAAAGGTAAACTTTCTCCACCTGAAGCGTTAAAGGTGATGAGTTAGACCTGCGTGACAAAAAGAATTATGGTCTCTGATGCCCGTTTCAAACGGAAGACAATCTATATGTTTCAAGTCTCGATGAACTTCCTGATTCATTTACTTAACGTATCCTTTTGCGTTAGTATATTATTCGTTAAATAACTCTTTCGGTTCCGTTGTAAAATTGCATGAGAAGGATAAATTTACAGATATTTGAAATGAGCGCGAGGCAAATCACCAACCGAAAATGTACTGAGCACACAAGATTTGTATACCCAACAAAACCATACCACAGCAGGTACTTTTTCACCAAACCAAAAACAAAACGCAGAATACAAGTACTATTAAATTGAACCCAAAATACAGCTGTGGATTAATAACACGAACAACATATTGACAGGTTATATCATGAATTGAAGTGATTATCGTCAAAACATATTTTGATCACCTACTGAACATGACCGGCATTATTTTCATATCATAACTGAGTGACTAATACTGTGACGAATTGAGCCTAGTAGACTTCCATAATTCATTTCTGAACTGTTGCATTTTGTTGTATTTTGGGAAGATAGAAGTTCTACAAGTCTCTGAACTTCATTTTTGTATTCTTGACACATGTTGCCGATAATTTTCCACACCAACTTTACTTATTTTTTTAAAGAAACAAGTTGAAGACAATGGATAAGCAGCGGTCGACATGAGAAATATAAAAAAGTGATTATTTCCAACGTACTATCTAAGCGCCCTGTATAAAAAAAAAAAATGCAATTTCATATTCAAGCTCACCGACACATGCAAGTACGTTCGAGTTCTTCCCATGTTCACGTGAACGAAGGTGCACCTTGTTATTACCAAGATTATTTATTTACAATATTTTCTCGGCCTTGAGTACTAATCTCACCACATCAGTGACACTCGCACGTTACTTCGATTGGACAACATTAACACTGATCTTAGCCTATTGACTGATTATTTTGATAGAGGCATGCGTACTGATATTTTGTAGAGAAATGACTTTACGTAGTATCAGTAATCTGTCATGAAATATAAAATAATTTCGCTTCCTGGACACTCCGCGATCACCATGCGCATGCGCTGGTCAACATAGTACTAAATGTGTACGGAAGCTCTTATTGGTGGATAAATATCGCAAAAATCTGACTATCGTCCATCCTGATTCTATCAGTCACGATTCCTGAAGAGAAAAGCTCCTTCAAAAATTCGACCGGACGAAATTAAGGTGTCATCGTAAAACCATTTGTATGTCTGTTAAAAAGAATCAAACGAAGGTACATGTATTGTGGCAGCGCACAAAGATTACGTGCACTTTCTGAGATTTTCACCAAACGTTAACGCACACCTCGATCACGAAATGCCTGATGGTCAGGCAAGTCGTACAAAGTTTACCAATTGAAAAAGGGCTGATTAAAAAGACCCACTCGAAAACGAATAGGGAACCTTCATCTAGAATATGCCAGATTTAGCAAGAAACAGTGGCAAGAGTCATTTGGAAAAAAAGACATCGAGAAAGAAGTCAAATATAAAAGCGGAACACAAGGTTTAACCTTTTTATTCTAGTGAGTTTTGTTTCATTAATAAGGTGCTATGAACATCAGCATACGCGAGTAGTTTGTCCAGCTAATGCCAAGGATTGCAAATTAGAGAATATTAACCTGCTCATGCATGATAAGATATAGCGCGAAGAAGTATCATTATTACGTCACAGCGACGTACATTTTTTAGCTTTTAGAAACTAAGGACCATCAACTTGACTTGGACTTGGACTTCGACTGTGGCTCTCAAAAAGAGACTCGATCAGTTGCAACTGAATTATCCACCTCTCATTCCAAAATGATTTAAAAACAGATCACTCTTCACCTCATATTAACAGAACTTTAATAACGTACTAAGCAGACTAGTTACAATAACTTAGAGGATAACTGATAAAAATACACTGGGTATTCCAAAGAATTAATATGAAAACCATATTAAATTTTAGCCAAACATTTGACATCGCGGAACACCCTAACAAGATTTGTTATCCTTTCGATTTGAATAAAAAGTACCGATTGTTTTCAATTACAGAATAGCTTAATTGAAGAATAGCATATAAACTCTGAAATTGCCTGAAGAAGTCGAGCTCAACGCTGTTCAAATATGCTATTTTCTAGAAAACAATTTAATGTTTTCTTGCCTACCTTAGGATGAAAGTCAACTGAGTTTTAAAAGCACTGCATTCACTGAATTAATGAACCAATTTTACGAGTGAGGCGCCCGACAAAATTTAAGGAGAGAAAGAGCGTAAAAAGGCTTTTTGAGCCAAATTGTATGGCGCAAAACTGTCTCGGCCGATCTTTTAGCAGCGGAACATTTCAGCTGGTTTTAAAACAAAAACGACTATCTTCTAACACTGACTAATTTTATTTTCACTTTTCCTCAGAAAACAATTAATGATGGAAAAAAGACCAGCAGAGCTTCCACGAATTGCCGCAGTGGCATTTTTAATTATCAACTTTGGAGTCAGGATATCAGATAGCCTTGACGTCATAGGTAAATACGATTTTTGGTTTTTGCACCTAGCGGAAAGTCCACTACCTCAGGTAATTAAAATCTACGATTTATTTCGTGTAACGAACTCGAAATAAAGAGTGCGCGAATCGATAAGCAAAGTTTATATCCTTCTGGTGAGTTACACGAGTCTGCAGAACAGTCATCCGCTAATTGGTTTCATCAACTAAGTTGAAGTTGTAAATTGGTCACCGCAAAGAGTTCAGAAGCTTACGTTTCGAGCGTTAGCCCCTCGCCAGAGTGAATGACGAAGGGCTAACACTAGAAACGTCAGCTCCACAGTTTCTAAGAAACTTTACCCCCTTTAGTCATCCGCTGAGTTTGGCTCTTTCTAGTGTATCTTGACATTCAACATTTCACGATGGCTGGATCTAAATATAAACTTTATCATGTTTTCAATCAACCAAATATCCTCTAAGTACGCTTTTTTCTTTCAGTAATTAAAGCTTCCACCAGTTTCCTTTAAAGGTGAATAAGAAACATGAAATAAAATACTGCTGCTATATTTCGAGGACATTTGGTTGTTTCGTACATGAAACTAACCAGTGAAGCACAGCAGGAGGCTAAGGTTTCGCTAGCTGTCGCTCTAATTGGGTAACTTTTAACTCCTACGATCTGCCTCGTAATTTTCCTTTCTGGCCAATATACATTTCCTTTTCATCTCAAATTAGAGACCATGGTAACACTTTCAAGCCCATAGCTCGTCTATTTTCTTTATTGGCTGGATGGTAGACCAATATTGTGAGGGATATTTCAACGTTGGTCCAACGTGGGAGTGAAAGTGTTGTCAACAGGGCAGGCGTTACTTGATTAATATATATAAATGAATAAAGATCAATATGGATGAAAAAGTCTGGGGCTAATTACTAGACGTTCAAATCTGTAAATTAAATCAAGAAAAAATAGTTAACCTTTGGTGCAGACTTCAGCGTTTGCTTCAGCCAATCCATCGGCGGAATTTTGTCTCAATAGTACTGGTGAATCGCTTGCGTTCAGCAGTATCTCTGATGTATGACACCCGTATTTCCGGCAACCCTAGGGAGTGAAAACCATATTTCTTCTCTTTGGATGATGTGCACTCCATAGCAATCTGAGTAACAGACAACACCTCAAACACTGTTTCGCTTGTTGAAGGACATTACTGAGAAATACTGGTAACATCCGCAATTCCAGTAACCCTGAGAAATAACATCCGTAAGTCCTTGTTTAGTTTTATAAGATCGCCTGCATTCCTCAGTTAACTGCATTTCAGGCAATATTTCTTGTTATGTGATGTTCTTGAAGGACAATACTGAGAAAAAGCACTCGTAAGTCCTGTAAGACTGGGATATAATACCTGTATTTCCATCTCTCTTCATTAGATGACCCACATTCCACAATTATCTGCATCGCCGGAAAAACTTCATACAATGTGTCGTTTGTGAAGGACATCGAAGCCGGAGTGTTCACCTCCTTGGATGAAGTGGGAAGTGTAAAAAGCTGCGTGCGCAGAGCCTGCAACACGCGGGCAGGTCACGTGGCTTTTCTTGTAGAAAGGATGTGCTATATGGTCCTTTGTCACGTGCCGTCAACATCATGTAGAACTGGAAAACCTTCAACTCCTAGTATCTTCACAATTTCCATCACTCCATACACATGGTTTGGTAAGTCACATAAATGATCCTTCTCTACTTGGTACCAAATAGTTAAGACAGTGGGACAAATGTCTCACAGAAAAAAAACTTGTCTAGCCTTCCATTGGTAAAGGTTCTTGAATGTTTAGGCCTTTTTGAGACTAATGTCATAAGGTGTAAATAGAATGCACAGAAAAAATGCCACTCAATAAAAGAGCAAAGTAACTTTTGTCATGACTGCAATCGCTGCAAACATTTTCCTTCTTTCTTTAATTTAAATTTTTGGACATAAAATCACAGTCATAACTTTAGAAGCACTTGAGACTATACTTCATAACTCAAAGTCCTTGGAGGGGTAACATATTCATATATTTATGTTTTGAAGCATGTTCTTTACGTCACTTGCGTTTCCTAGTGTAATTGACTTTCAGTACAGTACTGATATACATTAAAGTACTGAGAGAATTTGCAGTCACATACCACGAGCTACCTTCAAGTTGCCTACAATTATTATCATTATAACACCTTACTACAAAGCACAAGGTAGAATACATGCATTAAGTACTAGAATCAGATATAACTGAATTGTTGGGCTATCACCAATGGAGATATCACTTATTAGTATAATTTCAGAGCTGAGCAAAGAGTTTCCATCAATCTGATTGGTCGAGCGGTTCCTTATATGACGCTTTATATATACCGCACCACGCGGTTTATATTAAATGTTAAAATAAAATGTTAATAAATGTTACTAAAATGCTATGATTTTAGAAATTTTCCTGTTGTTCAGCTCTGAAATTATACTAAAACAATTATTCGCCTCAGGTTCGGTGAATATTGTCGAATAATCCCCTCGATTTCGTCTCGGGGATTATTCGACGATATTCACCTCCTCTTCGGCGAATAATTGTTAATTAGTTGCATTTGACTGTGTTACTCGCAGTAAATACTGAGTGATCATGATAGGAGGCTCAGGTATTAAAAATCAAGGTGCTTCGATTGCTAAATAGCTCACGATCAAGTTAAAAGGGCCAAAGCGAGATTAACCTTCGCATGTTACCAAGTTAGAAACCAGTCTGGAGGAATGTAGCCTCTGCACTTTTGTCAAGGGTGGGGTGGGAGAAGTAGGAAAGGAAGGGTGGTGAAATATTTTTCATTGCTATATAATAATGTTCTTCTTTAGATGCTGCACCGGTTTTCAGCGACAAATTTCCCAGGGTGATTGACGTCAAAGAGAACAATCAGAGGGGTCAAATAATCACAAACATTCACGGCAATGCAAAGAGCCGCCGAAGCCGAAACGCTCCTATAAAATATTTCATTTTATCAGGTAAGTTAAGTTCCGGCCAACCTCACTTACAACAATTTTTTTTAAAAAAATAAGTGCTGCGAATGTTCAGCTTGACCAATTCAGTGATTATTTTAGTAAAAACTCTTGTAATGTCGTGTTAAAGCGAGGAAAAGAGGGAGAGAGTTGAAAATTTTAATTTAGGGTTTTGATAGAGAATATTTCACTTGATCAGTTGTCGCCAAACATCACTAGAGTCACACAAACCAAAGGTATCGCATTTCAAGCCTATCCAAATCCAAGCTGATAAATTATAACGCAGGAAATAAACTCAAATTAACGTTCACTTGTCCACTTTTTCCTTAGGAAACACTGGAAATGCCTTTCAACTCAGAAAGCATCCACGCGGCCAAAGCGCTTCCCTGGTAGCGATCAGGAAACTGGACCGGGAAAAAATCCCTTGGTACAACTTAACAATTTTAGCAGTAAACGAGGACGAAAACAAGTCAAGCACCAGAGTGCTGTCAATTAATGTAAAAGATGAAAACGACAATGCACCTGTATTTTCACGAACCAATTACTCAGTGACATTATTAAGTAACCAATCCTCTGGCTCTGAAGTCATCAGGATCAATGCAACTGACGCCGACATCGGAGAGAATGCGCGCATGCGCTTCTACTTGCTTCATCACCAGTCTTTATTTCGGATGTTGCCAGAGAGTGGAACGATTTTACTGAACCAGAAAGTCAGAGTGGATCGCGAACACAGCTACACGCTTATCGTGGCTGCGAGGATCGGAGCGCACAAGTCGATTGCAACCGTTCAAGTGCATGTTCTAGGTGTGAACGAGTACAGGCCTTTCTTTGAGAATTCAGAGTATAAAGTCAAGGTTTCAGAAGCTTTGAAAGCAGGAAACTCAGTGACAAAAGTTGTAGCGAGAGACTTTGATTATGGGAAAAATGGAGAGCTTAACTTTACGATCATTGCAGGGAACGTTTCTTACTTCAGTATCGACAAGGAAGGTGTTGTCAAGACACGAACGTCCTTATTAACTCGCGGTGGTCTGAATTGTAGCTTAACCATAATTGTGAGTGATAGGGGAACGCCTACGAAAAGATCGGAGGATGTAGCAAATCTTTATATAACGATCGATGAGATAAAGAAACACAAAGTCAAATTTGATCTGGAGAGGTATCACGTGACTATAGCAGAGAACACACCTATCGGCGCTACGATTCTCACTGTTCGCGCCGTTACGGGGGTGAGACGCGGGAAACTCGAGGAGCGGAGACTGGACAAGAAATCTTCCAAACGTGTCGTTTATTCTATTGGAAATGTAGACGGCAATCGTCATTTTAAGATCAGTAAACACACAGGAAAAATAACGACGAAGGTAGCCATGGATTACGAGAAGGTCAAACAATACAGGTGACTATCATTTAGAGAATAGAGAAGGCTTACCTGTGCACTGTCTTTTTTTGTAAATCACACAGGAAACGGTTGGAACACGAAAGAAGGGATAGAGGAAACAAGAGAAATAGTTTAGTGTCTCACCCGTCTTCCTGGGTGCGCCACCATTTTCTCTGTATTTTACGACACAAGAGTGTAACCGAGCGCGTCGACCAATCAAAGCCCACCATACATCAAAACTTGATCATAAACTCAAAAGAAAATTGTTCAGTAAGGTCCAACGAGGGATGACGCCATAAATACACATCACCTAATGCAGTTGACAGGACCCACGAATTTTTCTTATTAATTGAAATGATTTATTTTCTTTCTCGTTAGATTGACAATATTTGCAAAGGACACGAAGAAACGAGACGAGAGTGGTCGCTATGAATTCGGTAAATTTCGATAAAACTTTAATTTTCCTTTTTAGAACGGCCTATTATCCTTTTAACTGTATCAAAATAAATTTGTAACAAAGCCTAAAAATTGTTGTTCAGTTCCCCTTCCTCAGGGGACTGGTCATAATTTATTGCCCAAGGGGTGGAGGGGGACTGGAGGATTTTGGTTGCGTTCCGATAAAATTTACCTCTTCCCACCATAACGGCTCTGTAATATTGTTATGACCCCCTCCCCCCCCCCCCTCATTCGCAATTAATTAGCTGTCAGTTTTCTACAATCCCCCCTTATACACTTAGTTGGCGACGACAAATCCCTCTCTGTTTCCGCTGAAAACCATATGATGCCCCACCCCTCAAAAAAAGATTCTTCACCCTTACGGTGGTCACTAATAACTGGTCCCTTATCTTCGTGTACCCGAATCACTTTTCAACTTTTCTCATATCCCTTACTCATATTACAGATGAAGCATATATCTTCGTTCTTGTATCGGATGTCAATGACAACGCCCCTCGCTTTGTTCTTAACTCGTACCAGGAGGTCATCAGCGAAAACGCCACAGTGGATTCAGAAATACTTCGAGTTACGGCGACGGATGCCGACTCTGGAATAAATGGTGAAATACACTACAGGATAGACCACGGCAATTCTAACGACACGTTTGAACTGGATGACAAACATGGCGTTTTAAAGCTACAACAGAGGCTAACAACCCAAGTGCCCGATTTCTATAACTTGACTATCTTTGCTATGGATCACGGAGTGCCCTTTCTCATTTCCAGGCCAACGTTTATCTAATTGAAAGTTCGTCGCTCCATTCATCCCGAATGCACGGAAAAACTGACATTCCCAAAAGCCGTCTATTTGGCAGAAGTCAACGAAAGTATTCCTATAGGATCGAATATTCTGGCGNATTCCTGCACAAAAATACACATGCGTTATTAATCAAGCGTGAGGTCAAGATGGCTGGATATTGGCCGAGTTCTTTGTTTGCATTTTTATGGACCTCGACCTCGTCTTGGTCCATAAAAATGCAAAAAGAAAAAAAAGAGGTTAATATCCAGCCATCTTGACCGAGAAAGCTTGGTTAATGAAGGATTCATTATATTGTATAAAGATTTTGCATTATTAAGAAGTAAGAATGACTTGTTTACTTCGAGAGCCAGGAAAGAAAGCCAACTGTGTTTGTAGCACAACAAACTCTGTTTTCTTTGTTTTGGCTATCTTTGTCCGTTTTTCGCGTTTCCATCGCCGAAATTGTCCAAGAATTACGAAAGTAGTTCTAATTCAATTTTTTTAATTTTCAATTTTTTTCATGGGCCCATCAGCCAATCAGAACACAGGATTCGCTTCATCTTTCCCACGAGCGCTGCGAGCGATGTAATAAGCGAATATGACATACGCAAAAAGGAACAAAACTAATGAAACAAATAGGAAAATAACAGCTGATAATTTACTCTGTTTGAACAAGAACATAACAAATGTAAGCTTAATAATCACGATAGAAGTCATATAACTATAACAATTACGCTTATCCTCACTCTGATGAAAGTCCAACATAGCATCTTTGTTGTCGTTTCTTAGAGTTTGATCACGAGGCACCTTGTCTTTATCAGTAAATGTTCTTCTGTCACTCTGTTCACATTTTTTTATCACTGATGACTCATTCATTTCTGGTTTGATTCTGGTAAGACCTTCGCTAAATCATTTGCTATTTTGAGTTCGCGGAACGACCCGTTTCAAAATATACGCTCATTACATACGCCATCTTTTAGAGTGGGTCTACTGCGAACGGTGTGTGGGTCTGTATGTTTGAGCGAAGAAAAGATGACACCATTTGTTAACATATTCGACATATCTGCCATCTTCGACATCGTGGAAAAAAGGTTGCGCCTTTATTGCATGTCTGCGGTATTACCCATTGCACGTGACTTAGCTTTGAGGAGAAATACGAGGGTCAGTCGCCCGACTAATAATTTCGTTTGCGGATTTACGCCTCAGCTCTTGCGTAATCCGTGGGGAGCGTCTTTTTGAAATCCACTTTGTTTTAAGTGGGGCATGTTTATCAACAGCTTCAATGAACGAGATCTTCCATGCGTCGCACCAAGCAGTTAGATCTGTCTCTAAGCCAAATAAATCCCATGGTTGTTGCCCAAGGTCATGTATAAATTGGTCGGTGATAAAAATCTTAAAACTGAGAGTTTCAGTAGAGCAATGCGAATCAAAACGTTCATAGCGTATATTTTATCGTCATAAACACAGTGAATGACGGCTAATGCCAAGATGTACGACACCAGAATTAACAATTTCCCGGGAGAATTAGTAATACAAAGATCAATCAATGTTCGTGATATCGGT